ATGCCAATCATCTTGTTGATGTTGCAGTGCTTGCTCGAGTTCCTTCCGCTGATTCTCTAGTTGAGTGCATTATTGTGCATCAGATTTATTAGCCTCCTATTGTTGTTGTGTGATCATCGACTTGTCAGATAATTTCAAAACAAGTTTATTAATGTTTCCGAACTAATCCTTGCTCTACCTATGAAGACTATGAAGACTTTTATTTAGTTTAAAAGATAAGCTCTCCTGTTGATTATTTATATGCAGTCCTCCGTGAGACCAAGATTGTTGAACCAAGTCATATGAACGAGCACAGTTTGTCCAGAATTGCTTAAACCTTAATTTTCTTTAGCTTCTTCTTTCCCTCAATTTTACAAGAATAGGACTATGATCGGAATTCATAATGGAGAGGTTTCTGATAACCGCTTTATTAAAGTGATTCAATCATTGCTGCCAGCAAATGCCCTGTCCAACCTTTCAAAAATGGCATCGTGTCCCTTTCTTTTGTTTGTCCAAGTGTACCAACAACCCATATACTTCAATTCTTAAAGATTATTTCATGTTAGGATTTATTGAATTCTCCTGGTGTCCTGATCTCTTACTTGTCTGCCCCCAAACTTATTCTCCTGGTTAACAACCTGGTTAAAATCTCCCAAAATAACACTTGGATAATTTAGGCTTTTGATGGTGGCACTCATCTGGTTTCAAAATTCAGCTCTTCTTTGATGAGAAAGAAGACCATACAAAAAAATGACTGACCACTCTACACCAGTAGCTTCACGCTCTTTAGCTACTATTACATTTGAATTTTGCAGAAGCACACTAATTTGGACACCATCTATCCAAAATTAGCCTAAACCTCCACTAAGCACACTACTATAATAGAATTTTTAAAGATTGATGATTGTTACTATATATCTACATGTGTCCTACTGACTTTAGTTTCCATTACAAATAAAATACTAGGCTTATATTACTTAACTAATCTACCTAATACATGCTTGGATGAGGCATTATTCATACATCTACAATTTCAAGAAAGGATATTCATAAAACCAAAGAGAGTTGATCTGGTTCAAGCACCATAAAACACTTCAAAATGTTAGTGAACTTACTTGTCATTGGAGTAATCAGTGAGTTGTTCAAAGTTGCTGCTGAGAATGCCACTTTGAAGACCTCTGCTTCCGCTAGTCCTGCTCAAGCGAAGACATCCGGTTTTACCAACCTCGGCGCCCATGTATGTGTCAACATTCTTTTCTTGCTAGATAGCCCTTCCCCCTCTCCATTTGCCTCTGCTTTTCTCTTGATGGCTAAGTTAGAAACATCCCGAGCCTAGGGGTATCGGCAATGTGTAAACTTCCTTTGCATATTCTTGATAATTTTCCAGATTTTTCCAACAATCTAATGCCAGCTTTTTGAGTTTTACTCGACGGACTAACTTGAAAATCTTTCTTCCTCGCCACAGTTTATTTGCCTCATCCACAAAATTAAGTGATGGGTCTTTCTCCTTCAAATGACCGTGCTGCCCAAACCTGAGAATTTTCATGTCTTAGCTCCAATGAGTTGCATCAGCTAAATGTTTAGGAGAATGGGAGAACAATTGGATATTCTGATTGAATACGTCATTACTCGCCGGCTGACTGTCGTTAAACTGAAGATTGGATGTGCCCTTTGAATTGATATTGGTGGCCAGGATAGATTCAACACCCTGATGGTTTGTTTCTATAGTTGTAGCCATACTAGAAACATCCACTTCCATTGTCATATCACAATTCACCCTTCTCCAAACCTGAAGTATTTGTGATTTCTTTGATTTGCAATTATGTAGCCTATCAGAAACATAGCTTCATGGCTTCTCATTATGGGTACAACGTTTCAGCAGAACAATGGTGATGGTTGGGATATTTTGCAATGATTTTGAAGATACCCTATGCTTTGTAGCAATCATAATGTTGGGGATTTTGATCCCCTCTACACACAAATTGCTGGAAGTTTACTCACTCAACAACACACGCAGCGGATCAAAAGTAAACAACCAAGCAAACACATCAAGAAGCACAACACAAACTTACATGGTTCCATCTCTCATAGATCTACGTCCACGGGAATGGTAAAACTTCCACTAGCACAAGATTAGAAGAGTTTTACATGTGTAGAGCCTCTCTCAAAACACTATGTCTCTCTCCCTCAATTCTAATCTCACACTCTCATAAAGTGTTTCCATCACTCACCTCCAATGTGGGGAAGAAGATGCACATCACTACAAAGGAAGTAAGTACAAATTAGGAGAGGACCTCCACTCACTGAATTCTAACTCTACCCGCAAATGAAGAGTTGGTTCAGTGATAAAACCACCCTGACTCCACGAGGAGGTCATGAGTCCAAAAAAATGAGGAGATGGCTCTCACCTTGCCTATTGGCACTTCTAAGGGCTTGTTATGGCTAACCCACTTATGAACCCCTGATTTCGCACCCGAACTTGTCACCCCGGGCTAGCCTAGGGTGGTTTACCTCCCACTATGATTTCCAGACTATTGAAGTGAGCGTGGGTTTACCCATCTCTGGTGGGGTTCCCGGCATTATCAAAAAAAAAATTCTAACTTTACCCTCATTCAAGAGCTCTCTCTCAATTGAGTGGCTACATCCTACCTCTCATCTCCCCCAACTGGGTTTAGTACAAAAGCTTTTTATTTATACTAAAACCCTACACAACTATTACAATCTTATTGGACTCAAATAGGCCCAATACTCACTTCATGGGCTTAGGAATTTGAGAAGAAACCCAACAAATTTTTCCTCGACTCAAAATCCCAAGTGCAGCAATAACATCTTCAAGAATAAGGCTTGCATCTCTATCTTCAACTTGAACTCTTCTACTGAATGTCAAGGAAACTGCAAAACCTATGTCTTGAATCATCAACTCCTCAGAAATAGGACAACATCTTCATGTGTGGGAATGTCAACGAAACACACACCTATTTTCATTTCCATCATCAACACCGCAACAACCACACTAGCATCGAGTCATTCTCTACTTGGACATTCCTCCTCCTATCATCTCTTTCAAACTCTTCTAGTCGTCATCATGATAGGGAACCACACCGGATGTGACATCTCCAAAATAGTATTCTCATCATAATAATGCACGCACTTGGCCAAACTTGCACACAAGTCATAATCCTTGCAAATGACTTATCACACATCAACTAGTGTGTAAACATCAACTACAAATAAATGTGAAACCAAAGGACTCAATAATTTTGTACCGATGCTCTCAACTAGCAGGACACGCTGCCTGACCAACATATTAGGTAGACTTTCGACACAAGGAACCTCACACAAATTCAAAGGGTTCAACTTGAAACACCTCCGCGGTTTGTACACTTCTTCTCGACCAAAGTCCACCATGGAATTCAATCATCTTGCACCGCAGTTATCAACTAACGGGACACAGCACCTGACAACCACAATCAGGAAGACTATCGACGCAAGGAACCACAGCAGAATCCACATAGATCAACTTCAACTTCCTCAAACTTCGGTGGTCTGATTCTCACCATTCACAAACCAACTGATCTTCATACTCTCCAGTATCGAGCCTTTCAGCTCTGATACCAATTGTTGGGGATTTTGATCCCTTCAACACACAAATTGTTGGAAGTTTACTCACTCAACAATACACGCAGCGGCTCAAAAGTAAACAACCAAGCAAACACATTAAGAACAACACAAAATTACGCAGTTCGATCTCTCATAAATCTACGTCCACAGGAACGGTAATACTTCCACCAGCACAAGATTAGAAGAGTTTTACATGTGTAGAGTCTTTCTTAATATACTATGTCTATTTCCCTCAATTCTAATCCCACACTCTCACAAAGTGTTTCCCATCACTCACCTTTAATGTGCTCCGGAGAAGAAGATGCACATCACTGCAAAAGAAATTTTTCAGTGATTTCACTATTTGGATGCACAAATTCAACAAAAATTGGGAGAGGCTAGAATTCGTAGGTCGCTGATATTTGGAAATTTGAGGTAGATATTGGGGGCGCGTGGACCGCATTCTATTGGATAAGACTCATTTTGGAACAGGCAAATTAAAAATTTTTCAGTTTGTAATTAGTAATCATTCCATCCTAGAAGTTATTCTAGTTTATTATATTATTTTAATTTAATAAAATAGACTATTTTCTGTAATGAAAAGAGTACTAAATAATTATATAATAATTTAGTTAAAATTCAATTTAGAAAAAACACAAAAAAAAAATATTCTTAAAATAACAATTTCTAGATTTTGGATTAATTTTATAATTGTTTGAAAGTTTTAGGGGCCAAAAATATAAGTTTTAAAATTATGTGGGCATCATATACACTATCATTATAATCACGGCACTAATTTTAAATTCCAAATATTCTAACATCACCGATTCAAAAAAGAGATTCCTACTGCCCAAATCCGGGCTTTGTTTGTTTGTCAACTCATTTTACCTCTTAAACACAAAATCTAATAGAAAAGAAAACATCATCCAAACAACTTTCTGATTTACATTTTAAATTCCAACTTGAAACACTCTTTGTTAGTATAATGACCATTTTTTGAAAAGAAATAATTCAGTGACGAAATCTAACAAAGGAACATTTTAAAGTGACAAATTTGTCAGATTTCCGTTGTTTAGTGATTATTTTTGGAAAAGTTTTTTTTAAGTGACTATAGTTGACAGTATTTAATTGTTTAGTGATGATTCGTACTTGATATTTCAAAATGTAGTTCAAAATATTTTTTTCAAGACCAACATCAAATAACTTTTTGCTCAAAATATCATCCAAACAATATTTTCATTTCTTATTTAATTTTCAACTTGAAACATTTTCCACTTTTAAGTGGCAAAATGAAATATAAGATGACGTCCAAACAAGAAAGGCTGGGTTTTATTCTTCCTTATTAAAGCCTTTTTCCTCTGGCTAAAAAGCAGTCCTGAGCTTCTACGGCCAATTGGGGGGCTCGAGCTCCCCGAACCCCCTTAATGGTTCCGCCTTTCGGTGGGGCAATAGCAGGGTTTATGGGCAGCAATAGTCACCTCTTTAATTTCAGCCTGATAAGTAACAGCTTTGTTCTTCCACAGCTCCACAGCAGCTTTAGCTTCACCAGTTGAATTCTTAAGAAGGTTGATCTCTTCTTCTTGATCATCCACGACCTTGTTTATGAAGCCGTCGATATGACGTTGCATGACCTCACTGAGAGACTTCATTCGGTACTCCTTCCTCTCGGACTTGGGTATATCCTTTAAGCTTTGCATCTCCGCAGGAGGAACTGTAAGCCCTTTTTCAATAACGGGCGCAGAATATATACAGGGAAAAGAATCCCCCTTTCTAAGAAATGGGGGCAAAAGGATATATACTCTATTCCAATCAATCCTTGGCAAGTATGGAGGAACCATCAGAACCAGCAGGAATGAGTACACATTACAGGCAAACATGACACAAAATGAGAAGAGACTCGTGCAGAGAGCTGTGAGAAGACCTCCCAAAATTGAGTCATGTTTTGCACAGCAATAGTCAGGCTGGCCTCGTGCACTCACAAAAAGTTTTGGTATTGATCTGCTGGCTTTGCCAAGAAAAGGTTGCATTAAAAGCAACTTGAGTTTTACTATTTTGATCAAAACATCTACACAATTAGGAACATTCAATCATTTACATCTTTCAAAATGCACAACTGTTCCGGTGAAATCATATACCATGTCATGTACCGAACAAAGACATTCTACTTTGTGCTTCTTACCCACAAGAATTTGAACTTGCATCTGAGTTGACGACAAGAGCCAAAAAGCATATCACTAAGAGGCAGGGCTATGTTTCACTTAAGTGCGAGTTGATTTTAGCTTGTGGGACAAGGAGTTTCATCATAGGAATTCAGCACAACTTCATGTGATACGTACTCCTTTTTCTTTGTTTGATGGGCCTCTCTTACTTCTGAAAAGGAAATTGTGTTCTCCACAGGTAGATTGACTTCCCAGCTTCTGAGTGCCTACAAGATTCATCTAATCTTTCAGCATCAGCCAGCCGTCATTGTAATTCCACCAATATTCTGCATAACATATATTTATGTAAATACATATGAAATCATGATTTTTGTAACATAAATGCTGAATAACAAAGTAACCATGTTAGGAATTCTCAGCCTTGATTCGACCTGCCGGAGGAGGTGGAGGAGGAACCTCATTCTCCATCCCACCATGAACTCGAGAAGAGGGCTTCTGAGACTCCAGCTTCTGAAAGTTTTCAATGGATATATCAGGGTTAGAGGCTATATCTTCCAAATACTTGTACTTCTTCTCCACCAATTGCTTGTAAATATTTTCCATTTTCGCTTTAAAATTCCCATTGTAACAAAACGGCAACTCTGCCATTAGAACCTGGGGGAAGTACTTCTTTCTCAGCTTATGTGCCGCCTTGGCCTCTGCTTTCACCCTAACCTCTTTGCAGAGCTGTCGCAAGATCTGATGCACTTCGTCACTTTGAAGCAACTTTCTTGCCACCATAGGGATTCCTTCCACCATCAGAAAACGACGATCACTATACAACTGCTCTAATTGGGCCTCCAGCTCCCCCCTCTTCTCCTCTTCTTCACATAAATTTTCATAATCATCCTCAATCTTCTTCTTCAACTCTTCAACTTCTGCCTGAGAGATAACAGCTTCATCCTTCCAATACTTGGCAGCGGCCCTAGCTCCTTCAATTAAATTTTCAAGATGGTCGATCTCTTCAGAACTATCCTCAAGCGTCTTCTTCAACTCTTCAATTTCTGCATGAGAGATAACAGCTTCGTCGTTCCAATACTTGGCAGTGGCCCTAGCTCCTTCAATTAAACTTTCAAGACGTTTGATCTCTTCTTCCTGCCATTTTATGGTGATTAAACTGTAGTCACACGGTTCCTGCAATTTTTCTGTGGGACCAGGTCTGGCCTTAGTTGTATTCTTCCACCCCAGAATAATCACGTCTGGCAGGTCTGACTCAACCTGTTGTTCCGACTCTGACTCCCACTCATAAGCATTTTCATCCTCATCAAAGGGGGAGTCATCTCTAGCCAATGAAACTACAGGACTTATAACCCTATCCTCTTTGGTTGATACCTCAAACCCCTCCATAGCATCTTGCTGAACACATTCAGCATCATCCTCCATGTCAAACGGAACAGCGTTCTCATCGTCCATTGCTGCTGTAGGAACGCTATCCATGTCCACATTCTGGTCTTCCTTTAGATTTTCCAGTTCTTCCAGCGACAAAGCATCAGAACGACCTGCCAAATACTCAATCAGTGGGAACTCAAGATTCTCGTCCTGGATTCTGGAGACGAATGTATAATTTTGCCTCTCCTCTGCTGACCTGTCTAGACCACGCAAACACTTGGAGAAGCCCTTACTTTGTAGAAATTTTCGGATAAGAGTTCGTAAATAAGGACCCCTTTCACCCTTCAACTTGGCACACTCTTCTTCTAGCTCCACAATCCGATCTTCACGAGCTTTAAGCTCGGCTGTGCGCTCTTCCATTTTCCCCCGCAGATCATCAAAAGTTTTCTGAGTTTCATTATGGGCAGTCTCCATATCTTGAAGTTTAGCTTCAAGCTCAACAACCCTCTTCCAAGGAAACTTGGTAACCTCACTTGACACCTCTAACTTCTCCATGGCAGCTCGCTGAAAACACTCAGTATCAAAAAGAACAGCATCATCGTTATCTGGTGGTGCTGTAGGAACATTGTCCATTTCGACATTATGATCTTCCTCCAGATTCTCCAATTCTTCCAGAGATAAAGGCTCAGAAAGACCTGCCAAATATTCTATCAGTGGAAATTTACAATTTGGGTCCTTGATGATGGAGATAATCGTATAATTCAACCTCTCCTCGGCTGACATATCAAAACCTCGCATAAAACAGTGAGGCAGATTCTGGACGGAGGATAATCTCTCCACTGCTTGGTGCCGCCCAAAAGCTAGTATTGGGTTGGTCAGTTTCCCAAGTAACTGCATGAAGCCATAACTTTCCAGAAACTTTTTTATAAGAGTGCGTAAAAATACTCCCCTTTCACCTTTCAATTTAGCGCACTCTCCTCTCAGCTGCAACATACAATTTTCCTGGGCCTTAAGATCAGAGGCGTTTTTCTTCCACTGTTCTTGTATTTTCCCACGCAGGTCATCACACATTTTTAAGGCTTCATTCTGCGCGGTCTCCATCTCTTGAAGTCTGGATGCAAGCTCTATGACTCCTTTCTGAGCAGGCCTTCCTTGTTCTTTGAAACGAGGGACACGGCTTTGAATCTAAGCAAATGCCCCAATGAAGAACATGTCACCAACTTACAACAATAACTAAGATAACATTAATAATAAAAACAAAGTACAATTCTAGAGAAAGAGTGGCATCTATGTTCCACAAACCTCAGATAGTAATTCTGCACCAGACAAGCCACTGCACACTTCCAAACCCTTCTCCGCTGCCGTAGGGTTAGGACATATAGTAAGATGGTTTTCCGCCGTCTGTACCTTTGGTGGAAGTGCCACTGGCTTACATTTCTTGTGGGAATTTCCCAGTCTCACTTCAGCAATCCGTTTTCGTTTATCAGCTTTTCCCCATTTTAAATAGGGGAGAGGAGCAGTATCCAAGCTAGGATGGCTCCATCGAATCGCTCCCTCCGGAGTAGCAAACAGAATAGGAGATGTGCCAGATGCTCCCTGATCAACTGGAACAACCACTGCCTCACTCCCTCCCTTGAGAACAGAATCCTCGGGAACACCATCAGGGAGGTCAACAGTGCCTACAGGTCAACCAAGCGACCGAAAGGTCACATAAAAACCAAACCTCAGCTTAAAAAGTATTGAACATAGGTATAGAAAGAAAAGAATAGCAACAAACAAGCAGCCAAAACACTTAGAGTCAGAATGATTTAACACACCATCAGTAACCCCTACATCAAATTGAACCCAATAATCTAGAAGTACCTGTTGATTTTGAGAGTCATTATTCACGGTCATTCATGTAACCCTAGTCAAGAGGTAGGCCAATACATTCAGTAGGAAACAGGGATTATTTAACTTTCTTGTCTTTGTTCCATAATTAGTCCTTAAAAATACAATAGTTATATGGGGTGCTGCAACTGAACTGATATTTTTTTAATGAATGTTTAAAATAAATAACTGAGGCCTACACAAGCGAATCTTTCCATCACAAAAGCTCCACTCGAAAACGACATACATACAGCAGAATACCTAAAACACTAAAACAGCAACAAAACTAGCCAACTTTCCATGGGAAAAAAAATTCAAATGTTTGAGCAAAGAATCTACAACAATTGAGGGTTCAAGTAGTTAATGATGCTATGCTACCAAATAGGATGGGGAAAAAAAGGGGGGGAAATGCTTTCAAATGTAATAGTCAAAATCAAAGGGCGAAAGAAAAGGAGTGACCTCCAGGATGAGCATTTTGCTTTTGGGTCTTGGAAGACGCTGATGATGATGAACAAGAAGCAAGCTTTTTGTCAATTTTCTCAGCAGCCACATCAGTAGGGACCCCTGCTCCGTCTTTATTCCTCTTGAGCAATTTGGGCATTCTTTTATGTTATACTCGATAATCCTGGAGAAAGAAAAACTGGGGTTCCAGCGGCGAAGTTGAAAGGCCCTAGATATGCATGAGGAGCAATCCGGCCAGCCGGACGACTGAAAGAGAAGTCGGAGAGAAGTGAAAACTCAAACAATAAGTTGAATGGAAAAATGACCTTTTGAAATTGGTGTGTCACTGTCAACGGCAAATTGATATTTGTGAAAAATGACCTTTTGGAATCCAGACATGGGTTAATTGTAAAAAAGAAAATGAAAAAAAAGGGGGGAAATAGTGGGGAATATTGAATGGAAAATATTTATCCCAAAAAAAGGAAATTTGTAAAACAAAAAATAGTTTACATTATCATTTGTGATTTGTATTTTAAAAAAATATTAGAGTGTTGTTGATTTTTTGGGACAGAAGAAATACGATCCCGTCCTATAAAAATAGTTCACATTAAGATAAATTTGAAAATTTAATATGAACTATTTTTTTTAGGACGGAGAGAGTATAAATTGGAACGGAAGAGTATTTTCTTTTCATTACACAGAGTGTCCATTATGTAAATAACCATGACTAATCACTTTTTCTTGATTTGTCGTTGCATCATCCCTATACAAAATGTTTAGATTAAATAACCACATTGATGGCAATGATAGATTTGCATACGATGAGTTTTATACATCCGACGAGAATTATTAGTGTGATAGAGGATCAAAATATGTTCCATACGGTAGGTTTTTTGTATATCCGATGTTAACAAGTGGAGTCTGTGGGTGAGATGGTCAAATGATAATCTATATTTTATATGTTATCTCTATTTATTTTTATCTGTTAATCTATTGAAAATGCATATAAAAATGACATGATTTAATGACAGAGCCAGAATACGTTTCCAAAAACAATTGGGAAATCAAACATGCTATTAGAACCATGAGAAAATGGAGAAAAACTTTCTATGCTGAGAAAATTCCCCAACACAACACTACATCAACTCAGATTCCAAAAAGAAGCAATTAAGATCCAAACTAAGGCATTAAAATATGCATTTTATGCAATTGAGTTCTAGAAACACTGGTGCTTTAAGTTCAACCCTATTGCCATTTTGGCCGGTGCTTCCCTTCAAGCTTGAAGTTGAAGGTGACATTCGGTTGTCTTTCGAATCCCAAAACTCTCATCTTACCACTCCCAATCCAGTCGGTCTAAGATTTCATGTCATGAAATTACTTTTTAGTTTGGCCAAATATTTCAAAAAAAAATTGGGAAGAAAAAGGAAAAAAAAACAAAAAGAATAAGTACACATCACCAGGGAAAAAAAAACCAGCCATTGTAGTCTCAATATTCTATTAATGTTAGGGGGAAAACTACCCAAATTTGTATTTTCTTATTACTACAGAAAATTGATCTGATTAACTTAAAACTTAAAGTTACAGAATGAAACTTAGAATGCTAAGTCTAGTAAGAATTTTCGACTATGTATATTTACCTTCAATCAACACAATTCTTTACCGTGATCGGCGAACAATGGAGGAGTTGTCCGACTTCAGTTGCGTGGATACACAAAACAGAAAGAATTAAACATCAACTCCGGATAAACCCACCAATCCTCATCCAAAATCCCATATCGTACCCGAAGAAATCAAGAAAGAACAACACAACACATGAAATACTAAAGAAGGAAAAATACAGAAAAGGGAGAAACGGTAAGACAATTACAAAATGAAATAGTGTCTAATTGATTTGGCTATGAAAAGATGGGGATAGAAACGTAGTACTCCTCTGTTCCAAAATTATTGTCCAGTTTGAAATTTTACTTTTAGTTCAATTTGAACTAGAAATGAAAACTCAAGCTGGACAATAATTATGGAACGGAGGGAGTACCTTGAAATTGAATAAGAAACTTTGGAAAGTAGAGCGATTTTGAGTATTCAATTGGAGTAATCGAGGATGAAGATGAAAGTTGAGATTAGTTCACATGCTGTATCAATAACAATCCGCAACTGCAAGTAATTGGATGGATTGGCCGATGACACTTAATTTTATGCCGTTCTCATTGTGTTCTTCAACAGCAATAGTTTGTGGAGTGTATGGAGGATGGAGAGGAATATACGTTAAGATGATATTATCGGCCTATTTTGAAGGGATTGGAAACTATAGATCCAAATCGTTGAGATTGGATTACTATGAATGGAATATAGTATTTTACTGAACTACTGCTTGTATTTTTTGTTTTATTACTTACTCTTAATCTTCCTAGTTTGAAGGGATTGGATAGAAACCATATCAACCCGTGGACGTTGCTAAATTGGGGAGCCTTTTATACTGTAAGCTAAACTCGCTATTGTTCTATATCTACGGGAGTAATTATATCGTACGATACAGTTCACAATGTTTGGTGAACTGGTTTATTATTTACATGCGCTCTTACAATTTTGGTTTTTATCTCTCCCTTATCTATTTAATCATATTCTTTTTATTTATTTAAAATTCATAACTAATCAAATCCAAACAAACTATAATGCAAAATCTATCTAAATTTTAAGGTAACAAAAAATACGATCCTAACAAGAATCAAATTCAATTATAGCCAGAGTCATATAATAAAAATAAAATTACACACTATCACACAAAAATACATAATAAACTGTAAACAAATACTAAATAATAATGTTCATGACTTAAATTGTAAATATGCAAACAAAACATATTAAATTCCATGATAGTCCTATTAAAAATTCATGACAATTCTGTGTTGCATACAATAAAAAATCATGGCAATATTTATGAGTATTATGATTAATGATGTCAATAATCATGAAACTAATTTATAATATTCGTTAAAAATATGCACAATGTTTATACATTATAATAAAGTATACTATACAACATTCATACATCGCAAATGTAATATCCATGATAAATATACACAAAATTCATAAATTCATGATAAAATAATACTATTTTTCTCCTAAGATGTTCAAACTTATATAGCGAAAAAAAAAAAAATTCATGAATGCTAAATGCGTTTTTCATGGTATATTAATCTAAAGCTCATAACTAATAACACATTGTAGTAATAATAACATAATATTCATGATCATATTATGCTATATTCACGAAAATTTTAAATAATGTTCATAATTACATTCACAATTTGTAATATGTTCATGACCATATTATGTTCATGATAAATATAGTCAATATTCATACATCACAAATGTCATATTCATGATAAATTTGCATCATATTCATACATGCAATAAAATAAGAACACTTGAGTGTTTAATATGGTAAAATGTTCAAACACATTTAAAGAAAAGTTCATGAATGAATAATATAGACAAGCGTGTTCATGGTTTTATTAAAAATTATTCATTAACATATAATTACATGTTCATCGAAAACTCTACTGTTTTCTAACTTTTTAAATTTAAACTCAACATTACCATAATCATGTGGAGGAAGTTCATCTTCAAAAATGGATGTTGATTGAAGTTGTTGGGGACAATACATCATCTTCAATGCGTATCAATTGAAACTGTGCCAAATCATCGTCGTTAGTTTTAATCGTGAAAGCTGCAATCTCGGATGAATCCATTGTTAGCGTTAAGAGTGCTCGTCACTGCCACTTCTTTGATAGACTTCTAAGGTATCATCGTTCATTATAAACGACATCAAAAGGATTTGATTCAAATCAAAACTCAGTCTTGCAATTCTTAATATTTTTTTAAGATGAATGAAAGATAGTTTGCATCTACTTTTCAATTTTTGATTTATTTTATAGATAAAAAGTTAAGTGAACCACCAAATAGTATTGATAAGATACTAGATTTTCAGTTTTGATTTTTTAAATACGATTGGCTACAAGATAAAGAGAACAATAAGGGAGAAAAAATCAATTATATTGATGCGCGTGGTTGTTATAAAAAAAAAAAGTTAATTGAAATACAACATCTTTTTTAAGCATTTAATACAATTCTTAAAACAAGTACACCATCTACTGTGAACATGGTTTACCATATAAATTGTCCATTTACGGGGTCTGTTTTTTTTTCCACATATACAACACGAGTCATTATATCGTACACCACGGTTCACTGTTTTAGGTGAACTGGTTTTTAGATTACACGCGCTTATAAAAATTCTAATTAAAACTTGAGAAAAAAAAATCTAAAACTAACTACTTAAAATGTGGTATAAAAACGTAAAAAATAAATAAACAAAACATGACTTTAAATCTTCTCCTCAATTCTAGCCTTCATCATCTCACCACCATAAGATTTAATCTTGAACAAATTTAAGTTAGTTATTAAGATATAAACACAATTTATATTACATAGTATATTAACACTCATAATATATTCTACCAAAGTTCATGAAACTATATGAAAATGTTCAAATATAAAATTAATCGTTAACCCATAAATACAAAGTAATAAACTATGTTCATATTCAATAACATACACGTTCATAATAAAGACTTTATGTGTTAACATAAATTCACATTATTACGAGTTAAATTAAAATCCATGACTGCAATAAACAATGTTCACGTAATTAATAAAAGGTTTTAACAAAAATATAACTTAAAAGTTCATGAACGTTACATATGTTATTCATAATATTTATTTCAAATATTCATATGCGTAGGGAGGAAGTTTTGCTAAATATTCATGAAAATATACAACTATGCATGACATCAAAATACCCTTGTTCACATTAAAAAAATTCATATTTTGAAGATATAAAATTTATGAGAACAATATTCATGTAAAGTAAGAGCAAAAAATTCATATCTTCAAAACGTATAATTCATGAGTACGAGATCATATATAGCAGGAACAAAAAATTCATATTTTGAAGACGTAAAATTCATGAGAACGATATTCATATATAGTGAGAGCAAAAATTTCATATTTTCAATACATATAATTCATGAGCACGATATCATATAGCAGGAGCAAAAAATTCATATTTTGAAGACATAAAATTCATGAGCACGATATTCATATATACTGAGAGCAAAAAATTCATATCTTCAATACATATAACTCATGAGCACAATATCATATATAGCAGGAGCAAAAAATTCATATTTTCAAGACATATAATTCATAAGCATGATATTCATATATAGAAAGAGAAAAAAATTCATATCTTCAAAACATAATTCATGAGCACTCTGAATAATATTCATATACATTAGTGAGTTTATAATTTTTTCTGAAAAAAAAAAAAACTAAACATTACCAGAGTCATGTTGAGGAAGTTCATCTTCACGAGCGCATGTTAATTGAAGTTGTTGTGCCAATTCATCATCTTGAATGCGTATCAACTAAAGTTGTCACAAATCATAATCGTTGGCTCCATCGATCTCCATGTAGAATGACGACTGCAATCCTGGTTAAGACCGTAGTTATTGTTATCTTTTGAGTGGTGGTCATTATTGTCTCCTTGATAAACTTTTGCATAATCATCGTTCATGAGAACAATAGAATCATCATAAATGATATCATCAAAAGAATTTTGATTTAAATCAAGCTTGATCTTGCAATTAATAAATGGACGAAAGAAGCAAGACCTTGTTTCTTATTTTATAGATGAGTAGTTAAGTGAACCGCTAATAGTTGTGAAAATATACGGGATTTTCAGTTTGGATTTTTTGTACACGATCTAAATTGTGATAAGATATGGGGAAAAAATAAAGAGAATATTTTTAAAGTGCATGGTTATATTTAAAAATTAGGAAAAAAAGCAATCTTCTCTTTTTATAAACGTGTGACACAACTCCTAAAACAAGTCCACCATCTAGTGTGAATCATAGAAACAAGTCCACAACTCCTAAAACAAGTCCACCATTTAGGATATAAATTACTATACAGCACCACGTGCCAACTTTTTTTTGTATAGAAATTTTCAGTTTAGGCGGGAAAACATTGCACGTGGAGCTGCCAAGTGTCCTCGAATGATTCTACTTTAACTAAGTAAAGGAGATCTTTTCAATTTTACTTTCATCTCTCTCAACTATTAATAACATATATATATATATATATTAATGGCAACTACTTATTTTTTACGCTCTAATTTCAAATTTCTGTAGAATTCCAACCTTATTCCAACAATAAAAATTCAGATTCACGAAAAGCACGCCAGAATAGAAGCAATGTTGTGGGAATGTGCAATGGCGCGTAAATCAGACAAATAGAATTAAGAGTCGTTGTTTGACCCCAATGCCAATAATGGGGAAAAGGGAGGCCCCTGCTGATGACACAAAATAGTGGATTGAAAACCCATTCAAAAAGACCATATATGTTGATAAAAGTATGGTATGTTGATACATCGTTACATTTCAAAAAGACCATATATGTACACTAGTTAATATTATACTCCAAAGAATGACAGGCTACAGAAAATGATGATAAAGAGGGGAAATGCACAACATGAAGTCTATACAAAGTGCATCACGAATTACTTCCTCTCATTCGGTTTATAAAATCTTAGCATACTCTTAACCAGAAATCTAGAATACCATAATTTGCAGTTTAGCACTATACAGATGTTACTAGCATCGACAGAAAATACGCGAAACCAAGAAAAGTGAAACTCACAATCAAACCTCAAAATGCTGGATAGTATGATATGGAAAAAGAAAAAAAAAATACAGCTTAAGCATGAACACGAATTGCAATGATCAAGTCGAGTTAAGAATTAACATCGATGCAAGAGATTAAACATTCCAATGTTGCAAAAGATTGAGACAAGCATGAACAGCTCTGTGTGAGAAGTTTCAGTTTTTATACCTGCCTTAGTTAATTCTTCAATTTCTTTGTGCACATTTTCTCTCTACAAGATTATGTACAATGCAAAAGCTTCTCGCTGTTTCGAAAAATGGATGCAAAGGGAATGCATTACAACTTGACCTGCCGGGGAAGGTGGGGCGAACATTACGGTTATCCTGCCCAAAATAATTTTGGGGAAGTCTTACTTTCGTAGTTCAAGCTACCAAAAAGTCTTCAAAGGACATATTACCAATTCAGGGCAATTTCGCGAGGTTGAGAGACTGATCAACAATTTTGTACTCTGCACTTGGGACCTTGAGGGAAGTACTTCTTCCTCAGCTTACGACGCCGCCTTGGCCTGTCCTGTGGCAACATCCGATGTACCTCGTCTCTTTGAAACAACTTACTCATCAGCATGGGGATTCCGTCACCCCTTAAAAAAACAGTGATCTTTAGACAACTGCTCCAATTGTGCCTCCAGCTCCTTCCTCTTCCGCCTCTCCTCCTCCATTTCTGACCTCAGCTTGGTTACATTAGCTTGAAGCTCGGTTTTCTCCTGATAATTATCTCGAAGCTCCTTCTTTACCACTTCAATTTCAACCTGATAAGTAACAGCTTTGTTCTTCCAAAGCTCCACACCAGCAGTAGCTTCAGCAGTTGAATTCTTAAGAAGGTTGATCTCTTCTTCTTGATCATCCATGACCTTGTTTATGAAGCTGTTGAGGGACTTCATTATGTACTCCTTCCTCTTGGACCTAGGTATATCCTTCAAGCTCTGCATCTCCGCCGGAGGAACTGTAATAATTTTACACTAAGAAGCGCAAGCGCACACTTCAAGCGGCTTTCCGTTCTCCCGCAAAAGGTTTTTCTCTCCTCTTCCTCTTCCTCTACCTCTTCCTCACTATCAGCTCCGTCATCTGCACCAGTTCTCTCCTGTCCGGCCGGTGGGTATTGGTCCCTGTGTACCTTGGATGGACGTAAAGGAATCACGTCCTCCTCCTCCTCCTCGCTATCACTAAACACCAAATTCTTTCTTTTCTTCAACCGGCTGGTCTGATTTTGAGCGTCGCCGTTACTCTCAGACATCACGGATTCAGCCTGGGGTTTGGACACCTCATCAGCGCCTTCATCTCCATCACCGACCGACAGGGGCGGAGCCAAGCCCCTAAGATATGATGGGGCAAAATTTTCAATACTTGTAAATTAATACACTTGCCCCTTATTATCTTAAATTTAGGTGGGGCAAAAACTAATATTTTGTAAAAAAAAAATCTAAAATTTCAGGGTTTAACTAGCAAAAAAAAAATTTTCAGCTGGGGCAATTGCCCCACCTCGGATGTATGTACATCTGCCCCTGCCGACCGAGCCCTTGGAAATGTCGCTAGCCATTGTTGAATCAGAGTTCGGCGACTCTGAAGCCTCATTATCATCTTTATCCCCATCTCCGTACGACGAAGGAGCCGGTCTACGAACCACCTTTATCCTCATAATCGTCTTTGCACATAAAAGGGGGTAACAAACCGAATCAAAAAAGCCCTAAGACCTATTTGGTTGGATTGAATTGGACCCAAGAATTGGAATTGGAGGCCCTCAATTCCAATTCTTGTGTTTGGCTGACAAAAATAGGAGTTCCGGAATTAGAATTATAATTGAAGATGAGGCTCAATTCTTTATTTTCAATTCTTTTGTGGGAGCAAATAATTGCAATTTGAACTCTAGAAACTTAAGGAAAAACGCAAGTCACATGCGGGTCGTTTTCCGAGTTATAACGAAACAGATCCTTTTAAGTTTGAAGACTTGAAGTTTTTTTTTTTTTTTCAGCGCTGCACATGGGCTTCCTTTTTCTTTTTCGTTTTTTGCCCCTTTTCTTTTAGCACTGGATTTTTTATTTTTATTTTTTTTTTGCTTTTTGTTAAATTAACATATGTTTTTATTTATTGTGAAAAAGAGGTATACATCATATTGATAATTACTAATGAGATCTATACATTAAAATTAGTATTGTACTCTTTTTTTTTTTCAAAAACTATCAAATGTATAACCATAACAGTAATTTATTTAAAAAATGAAAGGTATTAAATATGGGTTAACAATTTTTTTTTTATCAAATGTATAAATAATTTTTGAACTGTACTTGAAATCTTTTTACTAAAAATTATGTAAGTTTTCAAGAAGTTGAAATATATATTATTCCATATGTAATTATTTACTAAAATTAAAAATAATTAATTAGCACTATGTATTAATGTTAATCTATACATAAATGAATGGTCTTTACTTTCAACTATATAAAAATTTTCCACTAAAACCCAAAAGAAAAACTAAAGATTAAAAATTTATGAAACAATAAAAAGGAGAGGAACAAGGATGTTCTACATGTTACTTGTGAGAATTCCAATCATCACATTAATATTTCTAACGTAATAATAATAAAAGAAAAATCCACAAGTATGTATGTATCTATAAATTATAAAGTTGATATATATTACTCAGACAACAAAAGTTCTAATATAAATGTACATAATAAATTTATTTTTTTTTATCTTATATATGTAAGTAATAAATTGCTTTGATTTATAAAATTAAGTATTTCTTTTATTCAATGAAATAAAGTACTAAATTATAGTTAGATAATAAAAAATTAATTCTAATTCTAGATTTTATAAATTTATAACGGTCCAAACACAAGAATTGGTATTAGAACCTTAATTCTAGTCAATTCTTGAGATCTTCCAAACGAAAGAATTAGGATTGAATTACAATATTAATATCTCATTTTCAATTCAATAGTATTGTAATTCTAATTTAATTACAATTCAATCTAACCAAACGGAGCCAAAATTTGATTTTGATAAAAGAGGAAGAAAACTAGAAAAGAAAGAGTAAAGGGGTAAGGAAAAAGGGATATTATGATTTTTCTACATTCTTTTGGTTTATTGACAAATTTGGTCCTATATATGTGTAATAATAACAAATCAGCCCCATGAAAGTCCTCATCTTCCAATTTCACTCCTAATTGGCTAATTCTAAACCAATTTAAATTTCTATTCTTCTGTCTCTTCTTTCTCCCCCAATCTCACACAGCCCTAATTTACACCGACGACGACGCCGACCAATATCCGAGCGTTCAGAACTCAGCTAACATGGCGTCGTCGGAGAAAGAGAAACGATGCCTTTACGAAGTGCTGGGATTGAGTCGAGACTGTTCTGTCGACGAAATTCGTTCGGCGTACAAAAAACTAGCTCTACAGCGCCACCCAGACAAGCTGGTGAAATCCGGCGTATCGGAAGCCGAAGCCACCGCGCAATTCCAAGAGCTCGTGAATGCCTACGAAGTCCTTTCCGATCCCAAGGAGCGCTCGTGGTATGACTCCCACCGTTCCCAAATTCTGTTTTCCAGTGCTGGGAGTTCGTTCTCGAATTCTTCTTCCTCCGTTTGTGTGCCGGACTTGTTTTCCTACTTCAACAATTCGGTTTATTCTGGTTATTCGGACTCCGGGAAGGGGTTTTATAAGGTTTATGGAGATGTTTTTGATAAAATTTACCAGAATGAGATAAATTTTGCCAAGAGGTTGGGATTACCCTTGCCTAAGGAAGCTCCCCTCATGGGCAATTTAGAATGCTATTACACTCAGGTATTTATTTTCCATTCATAATTGCTGAAATTCATTCTCATCAATCCATAATTATTTTTTATCTCTAGATTGGTTTTGAAACTTTCGTTCCGAATTGGAGTGATGCATCTCATTCGAATTGAAAGGGGTTCCTAACCAGAGTTTCTTTCCTTTGTTTGAATCTTTGATGGGGAAGTTGGTCTCATTGTTTTTAAGCTTCAGAGATATTCTTGTTATCAGGACTTCATTTTGCTTCAATATTTCAACTTGAAATTGGGATTCTGGTGTATATATTTCTTTCGTAACGGGTTCGTGTCTGGAAATGGTTAATAGCTATGCAAGCTTTGACATAGTATGTTGATACTTTTGTATTAAATGTGATTCTCTAATTCTTAATCTCTTTCGTGTACTCTTTAGTGTACAGTTCTCTGATGAGAGGAGAAGTATTCTTATCTGAACGTGAAATTAATGATGCATCTTTACATTTAGTTATACTGCAGAACCATGTCATTAGCTAAGTATTTTTGAACTATTCATATGCAGGTGACAGCTTTTTATAACTATTGGTTGGGGTTTGTGACATTGATGGACTTTTGTTGGGTAGATCAGTATGATGTAATGGCCGGGCCGAATAGGAAGTCAAGGAGGCTTATGGAAGAGGAGAACAAGAAGTTAAGGAAAAAAGCGCGGAGGGAGTTCAATGATACAGTAAGGGGTTTAGCTGAGTTTGTTAAAAAGAGGGATAAGAGAGTAATTGATATGCAGGTCAAAAGGAATGAGGAAATAGAGAAGAAGAAAGAGGAGGAAAGACAGAGGAAGAAGGAATTGGAAAGACTTAAAGCTGAGAGACTCAGGAACTATGAGGAGCCTGAATGGGCTAAGGTGGATGAATTTGAGGATGAAGAAGAGGAGATAATTGAGGAGACCCCCAGAAAAGGGGGAGGGCAAGAGTTGTACTGTGTTGCTTGTGGCAAGAAGTTCAAGAGTGAGAAACAGTGGAAAAATCATGAACAGTCAAAGAAACATAAGGAAAAAGTGGCTGAATTGAGGGAAGCTTTTCATAATGAAGATGAAGAATATGAAGACTTGGAAGTGGATGGAGTGAAGGAGGAATTGGAAGATGGGATTGATGCAGAAGAGAGTGGCCTTGTATCAGCAGAGGATGATGAGTTAGATGAATTAAGAGATCATCTTGCTAGTACTTTAGAAATTCCAGAAGATGATGATGATAGGTTTATTTATGATAATGGGAATAGCAAGGTGGGAGTCCATCCTGAAATGGGATCAGATGATAACGAGGAAAATATTCTTGAAGATATGGTTTCTGGATACAAGAACCAGAAAGGTGTAGGCTTGACACAGAAGCCAAAGCGTGCATCGAAGAAAATTCAAGTTGAAATTGATAGTGATGATATGGACTTCTTGGAGCATGACAGTATGAAGGGTTCGAGGAGAAATAGGGGACGAAGAAAGCAGAGGGGGCAAGTTCAAGAGGAAGCTGTGGAATCTGAGCCAAGTGAAGTAAATGGTGAACCCGAAAATGAGAATAATGACAATGCAAAGGAAACAACAGTAGATTCAACGATTGTAACTGAATCTAAAAGCAGAAGAGACAAATTGGATAAAGGTCGGAAGCTTTTAAAACCGGATGTTGAGAAGAAAGGTTCTGGAAAGCAGAACAGCAGTTTAAAATCAAAAGAGCCAACCAAAGGAAGAAAGAATAAGGTAATGGCATTTGTGTGCACATTTGAAATTGTCACTTAATTGAACAATATCTTGAAATTTGAAATTGTCACTTAATTGAACAATATCTTGAAGTTAGTATATTTACTCTTGAGTCTGATGTCTTTACGTGTGTGACTTATTAAATGGAGAGTTTTGAACAATGTCTTGATATTAATATAGTCTGATGTCTTTACGTGTGTGACTTATTAAATGGGGAGTTTTGAACAATGTCTTGATATTAATATGCCTAGATTCATGTCCTTATGTGTCTGTCACCATTAAATGGAGAGTTTTCTTCGTTGAAGATGCAATTTACGTTTGACAAATTCTTTCCATGGTTTTAGCGTTGTGTAGGATGAGGTGAAATAAATGTTCGCCTCCTTTAGAAAGCTGGCACGGCCTAAATTCTGTGTCTTGCAGCAAGACTGGGAACTGTCAAGACCTTATATTTTGCATCAGCCTTAAAATTGATGCATGCGGCATATCTCTAAATTACTGATCATATTGTTATTCGTCTTTCGCAGGCTGCAAATAAAGGTTCCAGTAACACGTGTGATACATGTGGGGAGGAATTTGAATCAAGGTAGCTATGCATTTTATAATAATCATTTCTTGCAAGTTAGTTTTCTTGTTAGTTGGGTTTATTTTGACCCTAAAACTCCTTTTGCCATGATAGGAACAAACTACATAAGCATTTGGGCGACTCGGGTCATGCATCATTGAAATATAAATGAAATTGTTGATTCTGTGAACTGAAGATTTTCCTTCTTACCCCCCGGCGGATGTGAACTGAAGGATTCCCTTACCAATGGCAAGCTGCACAGGCTTCCCTGAAGTTTTGAGTATATCAATTTTTGACTCCCCACAGAAGTTTTACCTACTTACAGGTATTTATCAATTGGATACCCCTATTATTCTACCCAAATGTATGTATTCAAAATTAGAAGAGTGAGGATATAGTTCAGATGTATTCAGATATATTTATACCGGGCAATAGAAATCTGAGTTCCATTTTGAGAAGACCTTCTCGAAGAAAATATGATGTTTTACCTCATCTAAAAGGCATTCTAATAGAACTCGGCTATGGCTTTTTTCAATGTCAAGCCTGCTATATGATTTTATCAAAGATTCATTTTAGTCTACAGTTTATTACAGCAAGCCAACAGTGTTTTTACATTTAAGAATTTCGACCCTTGATACCATAGATGACCACAATTCTAAGTACTTGAGCAATCCAATCTCATTCTTAACCAATCCCGAGACTAGAAAACTCTTTTCGTGCGATCAATTTTCAATTAGCTATTTCATGCCTTTGCGCTAAGGATCTAAGAAGCATACGATCTCACGATGCCTGATACCGAAATGTGCGTAAACCATAAAACGAATCTCAAAACAGCAAACTTCAGTGACTGGCTTAGTCTCCCTTCTGAATAGTGAAAAGGCCTAATTTGATCACATTCACAGCAACCCCACCAGCAAGAGGAAATACAAAGGATATAGAGGCATTAAATGTCAGTACATGAATAACAGATGTAAAGATTTCATAATCTCGAATTAAAAAAAAAAACCTAAAACACCAGGCAATTAAAGATTGCAAGTTGCCCCTTTTTAAATTGAAGGGCACATTGAGAGAGGTTTCATAAGTAGTTTTCTACAATCGCCAAATTTTCATTCTGTTGGACCATATACAAGCCAATACTGAAATCTAAGAGCATTTGCCTTGTAGTTGTAAGCCAAATTCACATTGAAATGCAAGAATGAATGATAGGCAAAGCTCATCAAAATAGACATTCAAATGCAAACTGTACAATTCCAACTGAAGTGTTTGAAAAATCACAGTTCCTTGCTAGATGCTTGCTCTAAGTACGCCACAGCTTCCTCTTCGGAAAGCTGGTTTCCTTCAGTCAATCCCTTAAACAAGGTGTTGAAATAGGCTTTGCTTGGCGGGCATACAGGAAACTTCCCAGATTTGAAGCTCTCCACATCGGACAGGGTGCAACTGAACAATATGAAAGTAACAAATAAGTTTTAGCACGTAAATTTGAACAGATGGCAAAGGTCATGTGCGTGAGAAAAAGGGATATTCTTACGTCATTGTTAGAATTGGAACACCATCCTCTTTCCCCAAGTAAAGAACATTGTGGTACCATCCGCTCTGTAATATCCAGTAACACAGCAACAAAATGGAATTCAGCATCTCATGTTTGATAAATGTAAGTTTCAGTTTGTATTCAAGAAATAGGAAGGAGAACCTGATGAAGGGAATCTCAATTATATTCAAGTTTCACACAAATAATATGCACAAATCTCAAATATTTAAATGTTTTTTCACCGTAAATGAAAGGACTTTGTTGAATCATTCTATACAGCAAGCTTTATTACATAACAAAAAACATTTTGTAACAGTTTGTCATACATTTTTTAGCATGAACTTGAATGATTATTGGACAGAATCGAAAATCCTCAACAGTATTAGAGACAATTAGGACAAGCTATTGTACAGGACTCCAATAAATCAAAAGGAGAAAGATAAAATTAAATGCAGTTTAGAACTAAACCTTTTAACTTCACTCTTAATCGAAGCAGGAAAAAGAAGTTTCAAAATTTTAGATATTCATGAAATAGAAAGCATGGACCCTAAAATTCTTTTTCATGTTAGACCAAAAGTCCATCTACTCCAAGCATCCAACAACAACACTCCCACATAATGTGTATCAAATGTGGTGGGTCGATCATTCTCTGTACTGATATGCACTCAATAAAAAACTGATGGTGTTAATGATTCACCTTAACAGCCTCCGCAGGTATAAACTTTTTCTCCTCAATAGATTGCAAATCAATCCAGTCAAACAGCGGACTTTTCATGGTGAAGTTTGAAATAGTCTCCTGGAGTAAAACATCATTGAACTGCTCAAGTCTGGAAAAGGGGCAGAAACAAGAATATCAATTCTCAAACCAATTCAACTTTTCCCTAATATAAATTAATTGGATGATGTTTGTAAGTAATATCATGTGATTATTTCAAATACTAAGCCAACATATTTAAAGCATTTCGTACGTAATCTTGTACAAGCGCATGTGAGCTTTATCTTCATTGCTTCTGTTAGGGTTGAGAAAAGCAACTCCTCCAGGACCCCATGTAGCAGTATAATCACGAGCAAAGAATAAGCGATGCGGGAAAATCTTCCACATACTCCCTCTAGGTCGGGTTTTGTCCACTGAACCAGAACATCTCTTTTGCATCCCTTCATCCTAAAAGTAAAATGGGTATGGTTATTGCGGGAAACAGATGGCATGGAATTAAGTACTACAAAAATTTGGAAGTGTAAAGTTTCTATTAGGAAATGCAGAAGTTCTTTCTGTTAAGGTCTAATAATATCAAGAGGCTAAGACATTCTACCTGTCCACCTTCAATGTAGCAAAGAAATCGTGACTCCCGCATATTTGATCCATAAGTGGCATACCAGACATCCACCTTAGACAGTTCTGATCTCCAGCTTGGAGCAACAGATGTAGCTTGACCTGCATTTGTGAAGTTCAGTAACAAGAAGAAGCTACTTAAAAGGACAAAATTAATTTGTCCATTTATTACCATGACTGTCTTCAACTTTCAAATTCTGCAGTGGTTGAACAATACGATCAATTGCTGATTCTGACTCTTCTGAGATTAAATGAGCCTCATCATCGAATTCACCATCAGATTCAGGACTTGCAACCTAATTCAAATCAACAACTTAAGTAAGAAGTGATGGAAGAACAAAAGGTCGTCAGAAATGTGAGAATATGAGGACCAGCTTATTTAAAGACATCACACTTGTGATATTTTTTGTTTTTCCCTCAGTTACTAATTTGGACTCCCTTTCATGCATTATTTTCAAATTAACATGTGTCATTAGTCAAATCAACTTCACAGCAAAAGAACATGTGTTAGCAACCTTATACCATTTCTTTCACTCAGTTCAATTTTACAAACATAAGCTTTGGGTTAACTGTTAAATAATATTCCTCCACACTTTTTACCACATTTGCAAGCAAAACAAAACTGACAAGTTTGTACACAAAAGATCAACAAATAAACCAGGATAGCTAAATATGAAATGAAAGGGAAACAAAATAAATCAAATTGATTTAAAAAGTTATTAACCTCCCATCTCATAAGAAAAAGTATGGCCATGCAATACGTGAATTAAACAAAACAACTAAAAGGAATGACATCTCACCGGGACTGGAGATCGCTTCTTAGAGGTTATTTCCTCTGGCAATTTCTCTGCGAGAACCGGCCAAAAAGCACTTAATCGTTCACGAACCTAAAAAAGATATTACTTGACCTTATTATTGTGGAACTCAGAAAAATGGGACTTACTGTAAGGTGAGGAGGTAATATGCAGCAAAACAGTAACAAAAATGAAAACAAAGGGTAAATAATGCATAACAAAAATGCTTGTACCGCTTGTATCACTCGCCATGTCGATTCAAATGGATCTACGACCTCCAAAGAACCGGCAATTGGCTTGTCATTTAGCAACACTTTGACACATGCTAAAGCCGAATTTGCAAGAGATGTAAGGTTATATCCTCCTTCAAGTGCCATAACAATCCTACCTTGAGCAAACTCCATTAACTACATAGAGAATAAGAAAATTAATTATCTTCAAGATAAATGACTTCATATTACAATTAGTCAATTTAGAAAATAAAAATAAAAAATAGTACAGGGACATGTTAAGTATCATAGATATCAAAAAAGTAAACCACTCAAATAGTGCACCTTGCTCAGCATGACTGAATAACCATATGGGCTGACACAGCAGCCACCGAGAGGATCATTAATCGCTGTACAGTAAACAAAAGCGTGCCATTAGTTTCTAGAATGTGCTTTAGTGATCATGACTTAAGAAAACCATTAGATGTACTTATTAGAACCAAGTTAGAGCACAAAGGACTGCAATTTTCGTAATTCTTATGCGGTGAAACAATGAAGGCAGGTATGTTTTCAAGCAAAATAAAATGCGAATCCCCAAGGTTCATAAACTTTAAACAAGCGCCATCAACAACCACTTTACCTACATTGCATAAATCATCACAACAGTGTGTCACCGTGATACTTCCTATATGGTATGAAATTAACCAATTGATCAGATGTTTTTACAGCATAATAAATTTGGTCATAATATACAAAGCGACAACACAACAATAATGTTTTCCTTTTAAAACTTTAACAGAACTAATGTTATTTTTCCAAGGTAAAAGTAAAGATAAAGATCACCGAAAAAAGCTCAATAAGAAACGTATTCCAAGTGGATTCTCTAATAAGTATATCAGACAACCTGCATCAAATCCAGCAGAAACTATAACAAGGTCAGGATCAAACGCCTTGGCAACTGGAATGAGGATATGATCCCAGACAGCCAAGTAGTCTGCATCACCACAGCTATGACTCTCCCAAGGAACATTTATATTATATCCAGCACCAGGTCCCTTGCCAATCATTTCATAAGACCCATCATCACCACCAGGATAAAAAGCCCCAAATTCATGCCTATTATAGGTAAGATAAAAGTCCAACAGAACAATTTCAACATAACAGTCACACAAAATAAATTTCACGCTAAAGTATAATCTCCATACCAGAGCTTCCAAAAAGAAATAAAAAGCGATTATCAAATCAGCATGCAATACTATAGGGTCCGCAAAGCGTCGCACGATGATGCAATATAGTAGGTTAATAAATGGAGAATTTTGTTCCCTTAAAGTATTACTTTCTACAATAATGCCTATGTCATATTTGGCAATAAACGTGTACATAGATGATCAAAATACTAATATTGCAGCACCAAACAACATTCTCCAATTCAAGATTGAGATAATCTAATCTACATCAACATTATCATGCAAGCATAAAAAATATAATGACAGGACCATTAAGAATAATTCCAGTCATTCTCAAATTATACTGGAAAAAGATATGAATCACTTAAGATCCCAGATGTCCCAACAATTCAAAATCAAATAACTAGCTCTTCATTTTCATGCTAACTCATTAATTATTGATAAGTTTCGGTTTTCAATTTGCTTGAAACTGATGAGATGCAGATTGAAAAGTTCGACATCTATGTACCTATGCACAGAAAAAAACAGTACTCGAGGATCATCCCAGAACATCTTTTGAGTACCATTCCCATGATGTACATCCCAATCAACAATCAGGATTTTCTTGATTCCCAGCTCAGTCTAAAAATAACCAAAAAAAAAAAAAATGACAACAAACGTAAACGTATGAAAAGCAATTAATTAATGAGAACCAAAGTACTGATAAATGTGAAACAGATATACATATTCCAAAAACAAGACGTAGTTCTCACTCTTTCATTCAAAAGATAACTTGCTGCAATAGCAACATTGTTGTACAGGCAGAATCCCATAGGTTCTCTCTCCTCTGCATGATGTCCTGGAGGCCTGACAATCGCAAATGCTGAGTCCAATTCCCCTTTGGCAACTTTCTCAGCCACCTACCACAGCAGCAAGCGAATATGTATTACAAACCAAATACAACCACTAACTTGGTTAATTAACAGTAACTACCAGATTTATGACAAGTTAGTCACACCTTCAGAAGCACAAAAACTCAAAAGCAGCTCAACAAAAAATTCTAAATACAAAAGGTAAAAGAGAAACTGTACTACATCAAAGTTTCAAAGCAAAAACAAAAGAATCGCCCATGCGCCAGCCTGAATACTATACCAAAGAATTATAATGCATAAATGATGCATCAAATGATACAAAATCGGGACCACAGCAGCCGTCAATTCTTATGGCCAGTTCAAGCATATTTTTTGTTTTACATCTTCAGCGTCCATTTAAATTTTTAAGATAATGTACAACTTCCAAAACAGAAACGAGAGGGGAAACAAGGGCAGGATCAGTGATTGATACCTGTACAACTGAACCAGCCGCAAGACAGGCAGCGTCTGATGATCCTTCGTTGAAATATATCGAATTAAAACTTGCAGCAAGCCTACGTCTTTGCAAATCATACTTCGGGGAACTAATACTCTTAATAAAGTCAATGTGTTTCTTGGTGTGAACCAAAGCTATATGTGGATCTTCAGCTTCCTTTGCACTCAAAATTTCACATCTAAAAAGTCAAACATACACTACAATACTTCAGGTTTGAAACCTTAAGAACTTCAATGAACTACTCTGAGACATTATAGAGGACAAAAACCCAAGTAAAAGGCAAGAATTAACCACATTCAAGTTTATATCCTTAAGAAAAAAAAAAAAAACGAAGAGAACATCAAACTTAAAAATCTAACTCATCAAGAACCCACAGCTCCACATGTAAAAAATTGGCGGGAATTCAACATCACCACCAACCAAGGGAACAATGTTTTAACAGAAATTCTAAGTGACACATTAACATTGCACTTAATTACCAACAAATTTCCAAACGTAGAACACGTGAAACATCAACTCTTTTACTCCAGTCAACGTGCTTTAACAGCATATCCTAAAACTAGTACTAAATTCAGCTCATTTCTTACCAGAAAAACCCACAAAAACAAAATTCAGAAGAAAAAAAAAAAGAAAGAGAAAGAAATGAGACCCATAAAAGATCATACGCGTAATCAGCTAATCTCCTACCCTCTTCATGACATTTTCCGATTTCCCAAAGAGGGTCGCCATTAAAGCAACTCCAATTTCACGACAAACAACGAAATACGAAAATTCCCCCCAAAAAAAAGAAAACCCATAGAAAATTCAATCTTGAAAGGAGAAACAAAGCCAAAAGCAACACCTTTGGTTGACCCCAGAAGCTTGAAGCTTCTTCCAAATGGAGCGAATGCGATTGGGGTTCTCCGGGTGGTCACTGGAGTCAAAGTGCTGACACATCCTGTCATCGTAGAGAAGCCCTACACGACGCCGCTTTGGGGGGAGGAGAGCAGCATCGCCGCCGGCAACACCGCCATTGCTGACGTCACCAGTCTCAGAAGAGTCCATGTAGAGTGAATGAAATTTCTCTGAAAACTCCGAAGAGGAATTTGATTGGTCTCTCTCCGAAGTTTTGAAGTTTTGAAGTTGAAAAGACAAAAAAGTAGTACACTGCTCCCAAGAGCCAAATTTTCAGCTTTGAAAAAAGGAAAAGAAAAAAGAAATTCAGGAAAGTAGCCATTGTTTTTTTTTTTTTAAGCCATTGGTTATTTTATTCATCAAAATAAAAATAATTATTATTATTATTTTCGTGCAGTTTAAATTTTAATTTTTAGTTCAATTTTTACTAAAAATAAAATTCTAAACCGGACAATAATTTCAGGACGGAAGGAGTACTAAACAAGAGAGTAATTGGCTTTGAGATAAAAAAAAAAAAAAATTGATAAACAAATGAAAGGAAAAAACTTTTGCTGCAAATTCTCCCCTTTAATAATGTAGTTTTCGCTAATAAATAATAAAGAAATTAGAATAATATAATATTGAAACATAATTATGATTACTTATCGTTATATATTTTTTTAAAATTTTTTAAACTATGATGATAATGTATAAAGAATTAATTGGTTAATAGGTTACGACTTATGACGTTGTGAATGGTAGTGAGTTACGGTCTCGTATTGATAGACAAAACTTTCCGATTTACTTTTATATGTGGTTAGCAACTTTAAAGTTTAAACTCTCAAAGTTTTATAATTTATATAATTATAGAATCATGTTAGAAATAAATGTAAATTTAATTTTTAGGATAGAGAAAATAATAAAATATAACCTTATTTTTTTAGTGGTAATACATGGAGTGATGGAGGGAAAGTTTGACAAAGAAATTTATAGGAATTGAGATGATAGTAACTATGTCCTAATCGTTAAATGGATAATATCTTAAAAAAAACATATAAATATAAACATTTATGATTAAATCTTTGGTATAACTTTCTGTAAAATTTTCCTGTACAAATTATTATTTTTTTAGATAGTCACTTCTGCTCTTTATTAAACTAAATAAAAAACAAAAATGAAGGACACCTCACCATGAGGAGGATGGACCTCTCTTCTTGTAAGTTATTTCCCGAAAAATGCACTCAATTGTTCATGAACCTAAGCACAAAGGCCCTCTTCAAAAAAAAAAGAAAAGAAAAGAGGATGCTTTCTTTTCGCAGTAATAGAAATGGAAGCAATATCAATTTGATTCTGTTTTCTATCATTATTTCGTTTCGTACAAAGTAATGGTTAAGAGATTAATTTTCCTGTGTAATCAAATAACCTACTCCAAGTAATCTTAATCCCATTAATTACTTTATTTATTTTCTTAATCTCATATAAGAAAAAATAAAAATAATAAGGCGCTTTAAATTAGTGCGTCAAAATTTTGTGTGGGAGACTCGATATAAAATAATTTTTCTATTTTTGTTTTTTATTTTACCAATACTTAGTTAAATAATAAATGTAGTCTAGAATTTTTCTCGAACCATATTTTACATAATTTGTTGAGGGTTATTTGATATGATTTTTTTCAGTAGAGATCTAAGTAGAAACGTTGATATGGTAATGCAAAGTTATTGTATTAACTAGTACTTGGCCCCCATTGCTGGTGCTATAAATTTAACAAAAAATACATTGATGAACAAAATATTATTATTTACATTTATGAGTAAACTTTTTTTAAGCCTAAGTAGTTGCTCATTCAAGGCCTTAATTAGTTAAAGGTAAAACGGATTAACTATTTTATATAAAATTTTAATAATTTAATAATGAGCCAATAATAAAATAACACATATCACACATGTCAATTGAAACTATTGAAGGGCTAATTGAGTATTCAATGATCAACTCTCCTTTATTATACAATAACAAAGATTATTTTCACAGTTTTCATATTAATGCATGATCTTTTCCTTCAAATAACTACAGTAAAGTAATAGAAATTTACTTTCCTGCAAATTACTAACTTATGTAATCTTAATTAAAAATCATATATTTTGTATTTGTGTTAAAAAAAATTAGTTAGAACTTTCCAAATCATCCCGTTCTAATTCATTTTTTAATGGATCCTCCGCAAGTAACTCTTTCTATTGAAGCAGAATTAAGCATTTAGTAATTGAAACAAATTATACATGCATTTTATATGCCATAGAAAATAATAAATTTTATATTTGTATTAAAATTATTTATTTTTAATTAGACCTTTCCAAATGATCTCATTCCCATTTATATTATAAAAAGACTAAGGATTTCCTACAAAATTTCCTAATCCACCATATAATATTTTTACAATTTTCTACTAATTATCTCTTTCCTTCTTTAAAAAATTTAACTAACATAACCCACCCTTGGATGAAACCGTCGAGTCTGGTGTCAAAATCTTAGTAAACGATGTATGAAGTTGTGTAGGATTATAGTCTAGGAGTTTTTTGTTTTTTAATAAACCCTTCCCAACCGATCCTGTTTTTTGAAATATTATTGAGTAATTAAAACAAATTCTTACACGCATTTTATATAGCCATAAAAACATATATTTTGTATTTGTGTTAAAAATTATATTTTTAGTTAGACATTTCCAAATCATCCCGTTCTAATTCATCTTGTAATAGATCATCTACAAGTAACTCTTTATATTGAAGTAGAATTAAGCATCTAGTAATTGAAACAAATCATACACGCATTTTATATATCACAGAAAATAATAAATTTTATATTTGTGTTAAATTATTTATTTTTAATTTGACCTTTGCAAATGATCTCATTCCCATTCATCTTATAAAAAGACTAATGATTTCTTACATCGCTTCGTAATCCACCATATAATATTTTTATATTTTTCTATTTAATTATCTCTTTCATTTTTTAAAAAATTTTACTAACACCCGAACCCACCCTTGGATGAGCCCGTTAGGGTTCGGTGTCAAAATCTTGGTAAATGATGTAGAAAGTAGTGTAAGATTATAGTGTAGGAGATTTTTCGCCTTGTAATAAACCCTTTCCAACTGATCATGTTTCTTGAAATTTTATTGAGCAATTAAAACAAAATCATATACGTATTTATATAGTCATAAAATCATATATTTTGTATTTATATAAAAAAATTATTTTTTTAGTTTGACCTTTCCAAATCATCCCGTTTCAATTCATCCTTTAAAAAATCCAATTTAATATTAATGGTTTCGTGACTTCCAAGTTTACATAAATTTTTACCGCAAATTGACATGTCTAATTGCTACAATAAATGGATTATTCGTGAATGATTAATTTTATCAAATCATCCATTAACTGCATGATTAATTTCAAAATCATTTCCGTTCTTTTTTGTTTATTCTTTATTTTTTATCATTTTTTTCTTGTTACAAAAATAACAAAATTTCTCCGTAATAAGGCACTATTAATGAAACTTGATGCCCAAAACAATTAAATTAATGCAGATTAATAGTAGCTGTATATTATAACGGGATTATGGTTCATATTTGGGCCAATAATTTTGGAAAAAATTTATGGGGCCTACATATAAAATCGTTAATTTATGTAATCTCAATTAATTAAGCCACATTATGCAAACAAAATAAATTTATTAAGGGAAATATTTCATATGAAATCATCCACACATATAATTAATCATGTATGAAATCATCAACAACCATATATAAGTGTCATTATGGTAATCAAAATAAAATATCTTTATATGAAACCACCACATAAAATTTATTATATTTTCGTATTCAATTATTAATTTCCTTTTTTAAAATTTTACTAACACCCTAACTTAGTAATTGTATAAATCCATTGGGGCTAAGTTGTATTTACTCTTGGTAAATGCTATGAGAATTGGTATAGGTTTATGCTATAGAAAACCTTTGCCATATAAAGTTGTTTATATTAGAGAACAAATTCTATCTCATTGTTTATTTTAGAAATGGTGTAGAAAATCTTTCCAAAGGAATAACAAAAGCTGCAAAATATGGAGAAACGATTACAATGAGCTTGCCATTTTTCTTTTGAGTTTCGATAATTTGGGAGCAATGGCATATAACCGGATTTCAAACAAATGAGTTAGAAGTAGCAGTTGACCAAAAATGCAGAATAGGAGACCGTTTAATTTGTTTCCATGTTTCTTTACTATAAACTGAAACAATTTACATATTCAAAGTATATAAATAAAGAAATCAAAATGTACTCCGCAGATAAAAGGAAAACCCATTACAAAATTTATAACTTCGATACATGTCTCGAAAGAAATCAATCTCCTCGTTCAAACTTGATACATGTGAGAAGAGAAGCAACAGGGAAATCAAAAAGTAAAATGGAGTAGAGACATTTTTCAGCTCTAAATTTAGAATACCGACAATAATTGTATTAAGGAAAAACTAAAGTAACAATCGTGTATGTTCATGAGAAATTTTTTGAGTAACTTGATCTTTTCTCATGATTGTCCAAGATAGTTCAAACCAATCCCATATATGCAAGAGCTAAACTAAAAATCACAAATCACAACGTTAATAAAATGTTAGTCAATCTATTGTAACAATTTTTTTTTAGAGAAACTAAACAAATTTCTATTAATAGTAATTATATAAAAACAACGCTAAAGCAGGTTCGACTCAAAAGAACACAAACCATTTGCAAAACCTTTTTTAGGCGGCTTTCGAATCATCAATTTTCTTAAAATACACAAAGATGTAGCTTTGCCCCGATTTGCCTATCGAGAGATTATTCGACATTAGCGCATTCGATTCGACGGAATTTGTAAATTTATTCTTGTTAAAAAGATCGAAACTCTATAAAATAAAAAGAATAAAACTCTCAAATTTACAAAGAAATAAAATAATATTGTTCATGAATACTAATGAATATTAGAGTTTGGGTAAATATGATCTTAGAACTCCATTGACTTAAGGAACCGACCTCATGTACTTGTAGGGCTGTCAGTTAGTCGGATCAACCCAAGAACCCGCCTGAACCCAACCCAACTCGTGGAAAACGGTTCGTGTATTTGGCAGATTCGTGTTTTAGCGGGTGTAACCGACTAACCGCAGAGGGATTTCGATTCAGATGTGGGTTGAAAAAAATTTAGCCGGGCACCGCCGAGAACCCCATAAATTATTTTTATATTCTCGTAAATATAAATACATATATATGGCAATTTTCTTTCCAGATCTAGAGTTTATTTTTTTCCCAATTCCTTTTGGTTGATGTTGTGCAGACCTTCGACGCCATTCCTTCCCACACCCGATCACCAA